TCGTTCAAAGCCAGGGGAGCTGCTAATGCAGTAAGCTACTCCATGATCTTCTATTTTTTATTGATCTTCATTCTGTGAAAATTTTAGGTGCTGAAACTGTTGGAAGACAACAAGAATATTAAAGGCGTGGTAAATATTTATCAAATGTTGAATAGTTTTGCTTGTAATCCCTTGATTTAGAAACAGAACGGCATATAAGCCAAGGGAACTTCAAATACCCTGTTTTAAATATTGTTAATCATGGTTTTTACTTCGTCAGAGTCGCTTGAAAGAAGCTGGTCTTTTTTTCACATGTATTTCCCATCCGCCATATTCGGTCATTATTCCGCTCCATGACTACAGATGCACGGCAGACTACAAGACCAATTGCTTTGCAGCAGCGCTTAGTTCACTTCAGTTGTGGCACAGTGTTAAAAAGGTCAGCTTCGAACTCTTGAGATGGCGAGTTTGATTCCGGCGGAGGAGCAATCTTTGTCTTAGCCACGCATTCCCTTGAGCAAGGAGTTCAACGTACATCGCCTTACACTCATGCTGGAGTTGCGCAGTTCGTACAGCATCGGACTCGGAGCAGAATGATCCGGGTTGGAACCCTGATCAGGTTCACTCGTCTTTCGGCCTTCTGAGTTTGACAAATAAGTACTACTCTGCAGGAAGGAAATAGGAGAATACACACTATGCTTGTCTTGTAGCGGCTGCCGACTCTGCCTTTAAAATAGGGCACACCTAACATTAACACGGCATTAAAATAGAGATCAGAGCCACACCATTAACTTCATGAAAACATAGGCGCCAGAAATGGCCCCATTATGAATGTGTAAGAAAAATCGACACAGTTAATTCTGGTTACATAATTTCTATCCTTCTTTCTTTCTCACTGAGGAATTTATTTTCTGTCATGCTGCGCTCGCTTGATCACCTGACGTGTAAATTCCAAGTTTTCCTTGCGGTAACTCGTGAATACTATCTTTTGATACTTAAACTTCACTAATTATCTCAGCTGTATTCAGGGCACCTTGTAACTTTTGTTGAGAGATAACTT